GCTGCGAATCCAAATGTTTTGTTTATGCGTGTTGCAAAAAAAAAGAACATTAAGATACGCCAGAAATTTGTTAACTTTGTCTTTACAGATAATGGAAAATGTCGTTTAGCTTCATGAAAGTCAGGTAAATGCACGTATGAGAAATCGTATTGTTTTAGGGAAAACCGAATTAAGTTTAAAAAATCTGTTTTGCAAATCTGGTAAGTTTTGTGCCATAAAGTTAAACAATAAACTTGTGCAGATGAAGTGTGTTTTAGCACACCGAAAATAAGAATGTTAACAAATCATACATAGGAACATCCGCGACACGCGATCACTTTTCTCTGCCACGCGGTACACGGAAAATGTCCAAACAATTTGTATCTACAGTTGTCTAGAAAGGAAGACGGACGAGCACGATCTGGCAACTATGACATGCGCGTTAGTATTTTTATAGTTAAGGCGGCTCACTCTGCATCTACATGGCCTCCCCTTCCCACGTTTACTGCACACCGATGACAAGACAGTCTCAGGACAACATGAGCTGAGTGCAGCCGCAGTGGCTGACGAAGCTAAACAACCCATCTACGCGGGCCACACACAATCTGGTTATCAGTTAGTGCAAACGGATTCAGTAGGGACGGCCCGGATTTCCCCTAAGTGGCAATGACATAAGGACCACCTTACGAAGAAGTCATTGCAGTCTGATCCGCAACCCCGGGTACGGCCGAGGTCCACCTCAGCTGACGACCCTCCAATCTACACCTCCCTCCCCATGTACCAGTCGTCTGTCTGAGCTTGTCTAACAACTAGGACTGTTAATGATGGGTGTATTAATGGCTGACTAAAATTCTCGTGCATAATAAAGCCTGCAAGCGGTCGATAATAGGGGAGCCGACGCCCCGGTAGAATAGGCGCAAACAGTAACACCTTAAGTGCAAGCTTTATACCTGCCCTAATCCAGCGCTAAAATCTACCGTGAGGTAGGATGGCGGCGCCAATACCCCGGAAGATCACGCTTCAGCCTTAGCACTGATTCTAGCTAGCGTTTTAAGTGCATGTGACAACACA